GTTGGTCCCACCCCAAAAAGCTACGCTATAGGTTACAGAAGTGAGAATGAGGAAGGGGGCAGGGAGGGGCGATCGTTAAGGTGTGTGCGAAAAGGGGGAGGGGTCATTTCCAAACAACACGCGCCTATTCCCTGCTCTTCTAGGTATGACCGGTGTCAAAGAGGCACCAAGTGAAGTCGAGTAACGCAAACCAATAATGTTGACTCAATACCAACGTACGATACTTAATCTACCTACCGTTAATTTTACTCATATTACGCTTTGATTTAGGTAAAACCAGCCTTCGAAGAGTTTTGCCGACCGACGATGAAATGTGCAGATGTTATCATTCCAAGGGGTGGTGAAAATGATGTGGCTATTGAATTAATTGTACAGCACATCCAGGTAAGTCTCCATCTTACATTGGTCACCTGCAATGAACAAATTTGAAAACTTGTGTCAAAGAACATAGTCTAACAACACTGTCCACAGAAGAAAACAAAACTCAGAGGCAGCCTCGGAAAAAATTCATGGTTTTTTCTTTACCTGGGCTTATTCCTTCCTGCTGATTCGAAATCAGCTTGGCCGAAAATGGCGAAAACGGTCATGCGTAAATCCCTTGATTGCGAATCTATGCTTGCCGCCAAGGTTAAGACGCAGCAGTGGACTCCCATGTCTTGAGTGCGCGATAGGCACACTTTGTTTGAAACAACTTATTACACTTTCGAAAAAATAAGTCATTTCTTTCACTAATTTCGGTCCAAAACTGAAAGAACATCCTATACTGAAGATTACAAACCCTGCCTAGAGGCGGTGGTTTGGCACATCCTTGTTTCAAAAGTCTTTGACTCGCCGGGGATCTTCAGTTCGCTGACCATTAACTTCATTTTAAAGAACGCGAAAAACACAACCCAACTCTCCCCATTCCGATTTCAGCAAGTGGAACAGGCTCCCGCCAATGGTGAACGAGAAGAGTGCTTAAGCGATCCTGGGGTGTACGCATGAAAGACAATGGGGCGAGGTGGCCGGCTAGGAACTATATGTCGCCGATGGTGCATACGTTGGTACTATTCTGTGATGCCTGCAATAGATCAATCTGTAATGTATGGTTGCGGGGTCTGTTACAAATCTCCGCGTAGGACTAGCGTCCCGGCGACATATAGCTCCTATGCCCGCGGAGGAAGAGAAGACGTTTCTAGTTATGACTTTAGCGCAAGCGGAACTGCTGCCAATGCTCAGCGCGTCTTTACTTGAAGCGTTTCTAAAAAACTTCCCATAACTAACATTTAATATTTCCACGCAAACATTATGAGATTGGAGGTGGCAAAGTTGAACAGCGAGAAAATGGCTTTTGTTTCAAATCTGCTTTCTTTGACAAAAGCACGTGTTGAGAGAATTTTGGCAAGAAAAACTTCGAAAAGCATTACGAAGAAGTAATGAAGAAACAGTACCCAAAAATTTTTTGTCCTTTGTACCGCCAGCATTTGCTGTAAAAGTGCTACGCGCTCAGCCG